GTTCATTCTTATGGATGATTAAAAATGGGAATTAGGCCGGGCATGGTGGCTCACACCTGTATTCCTAGTACTTCGAAAGGTTGGGGTGGTAGATCACTTGAGCCCAGGAATTGGAGAGCAGCCCGGGCAACAAGGTGAAACCCCATTACTGCCAAAAAAAAAAAAAAAGGCCTATAAAACAATAGAAAAATGAAAAAAAAAAAAAAAAAAAAAAAAAAAAGGTACAAAACACTTAGCCGGGCAGGGTGATGTGGGCCTGTAGTCCCAGCTACTCAGGAAGCTGAGGTGGGAGGACGGCTTCAGCACAGGAAGGGGAGGTGCAGTGAGCTGTGATCCCACTACCACACTTTAGAATAATAGTAATATTGGATGCAGTAATTCCTTAATAAATATGTTTAAGTGAAATACCAATGAATATCTAATAAAAGAAAAAATTAAAAGAATGAGGCTGGTGAAATACACTAATGGTAGTTTGTTTTTTGTTTGATTGCTTTTTACCAAATGAAAATAGTTTTCTTGTTTTTGTTCGTTTTTTGTTTGTTTGTTTTTGTTTGTTTCTGATTATAAAAATAAGTAGTCACCTAGAAATGTCAAACAAGGCAGAACTGTATAGAGGGAAAAATTAAAATGACCCCAAATCTCCCCATCAAGAGGGAACCACTGTTGACATTTTGGTCAGTATCTTTTATTATCATTATTATTATTATTACTATTATACTTTAAGTTCTAGGGTACATGTGCAGAACGTGCAGGTTTGTTACACAGGCAAACACGTGCCACGGTGGTTTGCGGCACCCATCAACCCGTCATCTACATTAGGTATTTCTCCTAATGATATCCCTCCCCTAGTCCTCCGCCCCCTGACAGGCCCCGGTGTGTGATGTTCCCCACCCTGTGTCCATGCGTTTTCACTGTTCAAGTCCCACTTTGGTGAGTATCTTTTTAAACAGCTTTCTTTTCTTTTCTTTTTTTCCTTTTCGAGATGGAGTCTCGCTCTGTCACCCAGGCTGGAGTTCAATCAATGGCGCGATCTTGGCTCACTACAACCTCCGCCTCCCGTATTCAGACGATTTCCTGCCTCAGTTCCCGAGTAGCTGGAATTACAGGCACCCACCATCATGTCCGGCTAATTTTTGTATTTTTATAGAGACAGGGTTTTGCCATGTTGGCCAGCTGGTCTTGAACTCGTGACCTCAGGTGATCTGCCTGCCTCGGCCTCCCAGAATGCTGAGATTACAGGTGTGAGCCACGGTGCCTGGCCTTAAACAGCTTTCTATGAAGCTAAAAACAAAATTAAATTGCTACTAAGATAGATACATACTGTCTACAACCTGAACACGGAGGTGTACTGTATTTGATTTAAACAACTGTGTTAAGTGATAGACTCAGCTTCTTTGAATTTTCTAGCTATAGTAAACAACTCTAAGAATATCCTTGAATATGCATCCATCCACACTTGAAAAAGTACAGCCTGGAAGAAATAATGATAAGTAGAATGTCTAGCAAAGAATATATAAATTTTAGATTTTTGACTCATAAGGGCAGAATACATTCCAGAAATACAGAAATGTACAGTTCCAATAATAGTCATTCACTATTTTCTTATATTCTCTCCAATATTTGATATATCAATATATTTTTAAAATTTTAATGAGATAAAGACTTCATTTTTAAAATTTATTATTATTACTGAGATTGTTTTTTCACTTTTTTTTTGCTATTAGCATTTTTCTAGTTGCTAATGCCTCTTACTAACTTTTATTCTATTTTTATTTTTATTTTTTTGAGACAGGGTTTCACTCTCTTGCCCAGGCTGGAGGGCAGTGGCCCAATCACAGCTCACTGCAGCCTCGACCTCCCAAGGCTCAGGTGATCTTCTCACCTCAGCCCCCATGGGCCACCACACTCGGCTATTTTTTGTTTTTTTAGTAGAGATGGGGTTTCAATGTGTTGCCCAGGCTGATCTTGAACTCCTGGGCTCAAAAGATCCAATGGCCTTGGTCTCCCAAAGTGCTGGGATTACAGGAGTGAGCCACTGCACCCAGCCTCTTACTGACTTTTCAATAGGGATGCTTGCTTATTTTTTAGAGCTAATTGTATATTGAGAATATTAAGTATTTATGTATGTTGAAAATATTTTCCCAGCTTATCACTGTTTTTCAATTTTGTTTAAAGTGTTTAAAATTGTTTTACATCAGTATATTTTAAATTTTTGAGTAGTTACTTGTACTTTCTGGATTTTATGGCATGCTTAAAAATACCTTCTCCACCCATATTTTAACAGAGGATAGGGAGAGGTGAAGAAAGAGAATAATATATAGACAGACATTTTGCAATTTATAAAAATAGGGAAAAACCTCAATTTATGTTGTAATCAAATCACAACAAAACAAACAACTACAAAACAGAAATTCTGAGCCTTTCAGAATAAAGAAAATTGAACCAGATAAATTTTGAAGGTTTTCATCTCTTCTGGGATGGTACCAATACGTGGAGAAATGCTTTTACTGATTCAACAAATATCTATTAAGTATGAGGCACTGTGCTTGAGTTTTGACTGAGAAAAAAAAAAGGCATTGATTCTGAAAATAAAGTAAAATTACTACTGCCAGCAAAGAGCTTACAGACTACAATAGTCATGTATGTACCAGAAACAGTAGGAGCCTAGAATCCTCCTCCCTTCTTTATCTTATTCTACTTCTAAACCATAGGAGGAACAGTTGGCAAAATACTAAAAATTCTAATTTCTTGAAAAACACTTCTTATGATTTCAAGATCACATACTTAGAAGAGCCCCAGCGTCCCTTGTTCTGCATCTGCATCCATGGTTACTTCCCTGAAAGGAGGCACTGATGCCTTTGAGACATGACTGGACTGTAATACCTAAACCTGTAATCATGTTTGATGCCAGGAAAATGTTTTCAAAACATCTGTACTATTTAACCAGCCAAGACATTTTGTGACAAATATTTGTGAATGCTTTCATCAAGAGATACTCATTCACTTGAAGTAACAGATGAAAACATTTGAAAATATTTGGTCATCTTAACTCTGTGTATGTGAGTGTGTGTGTGTTGAATGTGTGTGCATGAAGGTGCATATGCTCATGTGTAACAGTAGAATTTTACGTATAATTATGTCTTGAAGTTAATACACTTTCTGTATTTGATTTTATAAGAAAGAATGAAAGGCCATAAGAATCTATCTTGGCGGCTGGGGGCGGTGGCTCACGCCTGTAATCCCAGCACTTTGGGAGGCCGAGGCGGGTGGGTCACCTGAGGTCAGGAGTTTGAGATCAGCCTGGCCAACATGGAGAAACCCTGTCTCTACTAAAAATACAAAAAAATTAGCTGGGCGTAGTGGCGCATGCCTGTAATCCCAGCTACTTGGGAGACTGAGGCAGGAGAATCACTTGAACCTGGAAGGTGGAGGTTGTGGTGAGCCAAGATCATGCCACCACACTCCAGCCTGGGCAACAAGAGCAAAACTCTGTCTCAAAAAAAAAAAAAAAAAAAAATCTGTCTTAAAAATGGATGAAACAATAATAATCCCTTATTATTTTAATAGTAGTTGAGAAATTATTTTACCTTTATTATTCAGTCTTCACCAAAGCCTATGAAATAATCACCAATATTTTAATTTTACATGATTGATTAAAAATTATGACTCAGTGTGATTAGGTAATTGAAGTTCCTGTTGGCTTTCAAAGATAACAGTAAAACCCCAAGTTCATTGCTCTTTCCACCACACTACATCACACTGTGCTAAAGGCCTGTGTAACCTGTAAAAGGAGGTTTAGCAAGTAAGTTCTCAACTATCTAAGCTCCGTCTTTATCATGATTTCGTCAGCACATTGTGGTAGAAGGAACATGAGCTTTGGAGTCAAATACTGTTTAGTTTAGTCTAAAGCTACCTCCTTGTAAATTCAACTTAAAGGTTTCTCTGGACATAGTGAACATAGTAACATAATGGGATGTGTGAACAGACTGTAATCTACTCTTGTACCAATCACCAAGCTTCAGCCAATCACAGGCAACCAACTATTCAGATAAGACCAAAGCCAAGCTCAAATCAATCCAGCTGTTGCTGCACCTCACTTCATTCCTTTCTCTGTACATCACTTTGCTGTTTTCTGTCAGTAAATCCTCCCAGATCACATTGCAGAGTCACAGTGCCTCTGAACCTATTCTAGTTTGGGAGTTGTCTGATTCATGAAGGATTCTTTGCTTAATTAAACACTGTTGGATTTAATTTGTTTAAAGTTTTTCTTTTTTCTTTTTTTGAGATGGAGTCTCACTCTGTCGCCCAGGCTGGAGTGCAGTGACTCAGTCTTGGCTCACTGCATGCTCTGCCTTCCGGGTTCACGCCAGTCTCCTGCCTCAGCCTCCTGAGTAGCTGGGACTACGTGCCCGCCACCATGCCTGGCTAATTTTTTTGGTAGTTTTTAGTAGAGACAGGGTTTCACCGTGTTAGCCAGGATGGTCTTGATCTCCTGACCTCGTGATCCGCCCGCCTTGTCCTCCCAAAGTGCTGGGATTACAGGCATGAGCCACCGTGCCTGGCCTAAAGTTTTTCTTTTAACAACACCTAGGTTTGAATTCCAATTCTGCCACTTATTAACTGTGCATATTTGGGCCAAAACTTTCTGTCTTGCCTTCACTAGGAACCTTGGCAATGATAACACAATGGAGATTTGTTGTGATAGCTCTGGCAAATAACAGGCGATCGAGAATGTCTTCGAGACATTGACTTAACTCTCCTGGGAAGCTGTCAGGAGACACACAGTTGACTTGGGCACTGTAAGAATTGTGGGCAATGGGGCCCTGGACATAGAGGCAAGAGCCAATAAATAGGAGTCAGTGTTGAGCTCTGCTTTAATCCACATGCAGAGAATTGGTATTTGGCCATGATTAGATTCTTCTCATCTCTGATTCTCATATTCACTTATGTCTAGGAGGCATTATATCAAGAAGACAGAAGTGGAACCTTGGGAACATGAGAGAAAAGTAAGAATGACACTTGTGAATACTTTTTACAAAGGCCAAAGTGAGTTTATCTAATCCCTTTTTTCTTTTTACTCTATATAGACGATGGTGTCTGTGTCTTTAAATGCTTACTCAACAGAGACACTGAATGTTGCCGTGTGGGGAAGGAATCCATCTTGATTACTCTGGGGTACAGCAGTGCTTTGCTGAAGTTTGAGTCTCATGCTGGTAAGTTTTGTGCCTATCCAGACCCCCTGTCTTATTCAAAGAAGGATCTCCTGATTGGCTCACTTTCAGTGGTTACTGATTAGTTGGCTTTCAAAGCATGTTTCCTGATACAAGTCAATTCTCATGCATTGATGAAATGATTTTAAACTGGTCTTGGTACTTACTTGATGCCATAGCTAGAGAACAATCAATCTTTTCCTAGAGTATGAGAATGTTTTTATTCTTAGCCCTCCTTTTGGTCTTCCTTCATCCAAAGCTGCAGGGGAGACCACCAAAGGTTGTCCAGATCTTCACCACTGTGGTCAATTCTCCTTGAAAATGAGGTTGTTTGCAGAAATGTGACTTTCAGTTTAAGTGTTGGTCAGAATGATTTCATCCTGTTTTTGTCTTTGAATCATTTATTGAGCATTTTTAGACTCTGGACAACAAAAATCAAACAACAGAGAAGTAAGTGAAAGTGTAACTAGAAGTATTTTAAGAAAGTACTGAACTACCCTCTGAAAGATTTCCAGTCTGATAAAGAAAATTAGAACCAATAATGCCTTGGGTTAACTTTGGATGGTTGAGTGTCATTTCTTTAACTTAGATATAAGTTGTTCCATCTCACATATGGTGTTAATCCACATACAGTGTAAAATGCCAGCAGTGGTATGGATTCTTCTCTAGTTAGCTAAAATATCCAAAGCTCTTTTATTATTAACTACCTTGGGATAAAGAAGTTAAACTGATTTCCAAACTGAATCTGGAGTCAGCCAGAGTGAGGAACTTTCTTTATCATATATCTATCCATATGTCTATCTCTCTATTTATCCATCAATCTACCTTATCTTTAATCATGAATTTCAGAGTGAATTTTAATAGCATATTTCACCTCCATATATTTCAACTTGCATATCATTAATTAGAATTCAAAATTTGTTGATGATTTTTATTTTTTTCTATTGATGTTAAATTTCCGAACTGTCCATTGAAATACACAAATCTTAAGATGCTATCATTCCTGAAAATTACCTCATGCCCTTTCCCAGTCATTCCCCACTGCCATTCTGCCAGGGGTAATCATCACTGTTCTGATATTTTTCCCACCATAGAGTAGCTTTGTCTTTTCTAGAACTTCCTATAAATGAAATAATTCAGTATATACTCTCTTCATTAAGGTCACTCGGCATAGTGTTTTCAGGCTTGTCTATGTTGTTACAAGTATTAGTATTGTTCATTTTTATTGCTAAGTAATAGCCACAATTTGTTTATTCTCATTTTGATGGATATTGAGGCTATTTCCAGGTTTTGGCTATTATGAATATGGCTGCTATAAATTTTCTCATTCCAATATATTTCTATACATAGTTTTTTTCATTTCTCTTGAGTCAAAAATCTAAGAGTAAAATTCCTGGGTCATAGAGTAAGCACATGATGAGTTTTGTAGGAAATAGCCAGAATTTTTTTCCAAAGTGGTTTTAGCATTTTACACTCCCAGCAACAAATAATGAATGACAGTTCTGGTTGTTCCACATTCTTGCTAACATTTGATCTTTCATGAGATACGAGTTATATCTCATTACAGTTTCAATTTCCATTTTCCTGATGTCTAATGATGTTAAGCACTTTTTCATGTACTTGTGAATTCAAATTGTTTTCCTGTTACTAATTGGTTGTGTGTCCATAGAGTAGTTGTTCTGTATATATCCAGGATACCAGGCTTGTATCAGATATGTAATTTATGGATGTTTTGTAGTTGCTTATTAATTTCCATAATGTTGTCTTACGTTGAGCAGAAGTTTTAAAATTTGAAGTCTAATTAATCATTCTTCTTCTTTGTTTATTGCTCTCTGTGTCCTAAGAGCCCTTTGCTACTTTCAATACTGAATGATTTATCCTCTATTTCCTTCTAGAAGTTTCATAGCTTTAGCTTTTATATTTTAGGTATGTAATTCATCTTAATTATTTTTCAAATGGTATTAGGTATGAGGCCAAGAATTATTTTTAGTTCATATGGATATTCCACTATTCTAATAATGTTTATTGAAAAGACATTTTCAAGTCAAATGACCAAATAGAAGTCTTGAACACTTTATTCTGTTCCTTTGATTATCCTTATACCAATATCATATTGTCTGGATTACCTTTAAAGTAACTCTTGAGGTCTCATAGTCTATATCCTTCAACTTAATTCTTCTTTGTCATGATTGTTCTGGATCTTTTGGTCCTTTGCATTTCTGTATATATTTATAATTAAGTTGTCAATTTCTACAAAAATGCTTGATCCAATTATAATTGAGATTGATCAGTTTGGTGAGAATTGTACTTTTAACAATTTATTGAATATATTGAACAATTTATTGAATAGGCAAAAGAGAGCAATTGTCCTTGACAGTTTCCCAATTATACATAAAAGTCCAATATGCTACCATAAAGTATAATATTTGTTATATATTTTTGTGGATGATCTTTCTCAGATTCAGGAAATTCCCTTCTATCCTTAGTTTGCAGAAAATTTTATCATTGTTGGGCATTGGATTTGTTCAACTTTTTAAAAACTATTGATATGAGGAGTAAGGGAAAGGATCCAGTTTCAGCTTTTACTTATGGCTAGCCATTTTCCAGCACCATTATTAAATAGGGAATCATTTCCACATTCTTGTTTCTCTCAGGTTTGTCAAAGATCAGATGGCTGTAGATGTGTGGTATTATTTCTGGAGGACTCTGTTCTGTTCCATTGGTTACTATCTCTCTGTTTTGGTACCAGTACCATGCTGTTTTGGTTACTGTAGCCTTGTAGTATAGTTTGAAGTCAGGTAGCGTGATGCCCTCCGCTTTGTTCTTTTTGACTTAGGATTGCCTTGGCAATGCGGGCTTTTTTTGGGTTTTATGAACTTTAAACCAGTTTTTTCAATTCTGTGAAGAAACTCATTTGGTAGCTTAATGGGGATGGCATTGAATCTTAAATTACCTTGGACAGTATGGCCATTTTCACCAGATATTGATTCTTCCTATCCATTGAGCATGGTATGTTCTTCCATTTGTTTGTGTCCTCTTTTATTTCATTGAGCAGTGGTTTGTAGTTCTCCTTGAAGAGGTCCTTTACATCCCTTGTAAGTTGGATCCCTAGGTATTTTATTCTCTTTGAAGCAATTGTGAATGAAGTTCATTCATGATTTGGTCTCTGTTTGTCTGTTACTGATGTATAAGAATGCTTTGGATTTTTGCACATTAATTTTTGTATCCTGAGACTTTGCTGAAGTTTCTTATTCAGCTTAAGGAGATTTTGAATTCAAGATGGATTAGAGACCTTAAATGTTAGACCTAATACCATAAACAACCCTAGAAGAAAACCTATGTACATACTATTCAGGACACAGCGATGGCAAGACTTCATGTCTAAAACCACAAAAGCAATAGCAACAAAAGCCAAATGACAAATGGGATCTATTACAACTAAAGAGCTTCTGCACAGCAAAGAAACTAACCATCAGAGTGAACAGGCAACCTACAGAATGGGAGAAAATTTTTGCAAAATCTACTCATCTGCAAAGGGCTAATATCCAACCTACAAAGGAACTCTTACAAATTTACAAGAAAAAAACAAACCAACCCAACAAAAAGTTGGGCAAAGGATATGAACAGACACTTCTGAAAAAGAAGACATTTGTGCAGACAACAGACACATGAAAAAGCTCATTCATCACTAGCCATCAGAGAAAGGAAATCAAAACCACAATGAGATACCATCTCACACAGTTAGAATGGCGATCATTAAAAAGTCAGGAAACAACAGTGCTAGAGAGGATGTGGAGAAATAGGAACACTTTTACACTGTTGGTGGGGACTGTAAACTAGTTCAACCATTATGGGAAACCGTATGGCGATTCCTCAAGGATCTAAGAGTAGAAGTACCGTATGGACCAGCCATCCCAATTACTGGGTATATCCCAAAGGATTATAAATCATGCTGCTATAAAGAACATGCACACGTATGTTTATTGCGCACTATTCACAATCGCAAAGACTTAGAATCAACCCAAAATGTCCATCCAATGACAGACTGATTAAGAAAAATGTGGCACATATGCACCATGGAATACTATGGCAGCCATAAAAAAGGATGAGATTGTGCTCCTTTGTAGGGCATGATGCAGCTGGAAACCATCATTCTCAGCAACTATCGCAGACAGAAAACAAACACCGCATGTTCTCACTCATAGGTGGGAACTGAACAATGAAATCACTTGGACTCGGGAAGGGAGATCACACACCGGCCTATCAGGGGGGCGGGGAGCGGGAGTAATTGCATTGGAGTGAACCTGGATGTAAATGAAGAGTTGATGGGTGCAGCACACCAACATGGCACAAGTATACATATGTAACAAACCTGCACGTTATGCATATGTACCCTAGAACTTAAAGTATAAAAAAAAAAAAACTATTGATATGATCATATTCTATAACTTTGGTTAATTTCTTTGAATGATGTGCTTTGTGTACAATTGATATTATTTGTCTGTTAAATGTTTGATATAATTCACCTGTGAATTTATTGAAGCTTGAAATTTTATTCATGGTAATATTCATGGTAATTCTTTAATAGATATGGGGATTTTCAGATTTTCTTGTTTCAATTTGATATTTTATATCCTTTCATGGAATTTTCCATTTCATCAGAGATGTCAGATTCATTGTTCATAATTTGCTCGTTATCCTTTTAATTTTGTAAGATTTGTAATAATTTCTACTATTTCTTTTCTGATGGTTGTTATTAATGTTTCCTCTCCCTTTTTTTGATCAGGTAGGGGTTTATCAGTTTTATTAGTTTTTCAACAAATCAAATTTGGCCGTATTAGTTTCTCTATAGTTTTTCTATATTTTTATTTCATTGATCTCTAGTCTTATTTTTATTATTTTCTTCATTCTGCATTCTTTGGGCTTACTTTGCTCTTTTGTTACAGCTTCTTATAGTGAGAACTTAGGTCACTAACTTCATTCTTTTATTTTTTTCTAATATA